CGTGTGGAGGGCACAGACCGATCTCAGTGTCACACCCAGCGACCCGCACGCCGCCGTCACACAGGGGAGGGGACTTCGCTCATATCATTGTCACAGCCAGCGCCCTGCCGCCCACGGGTCAGCATCGCCGCACTCGCCACCCGTCACACGTGTGGAAGGCACAGACCGATCTCAGTGTCACACCCAGCGACCCGCTCGCGCTCGCGCCGCCGTCACACGGGGGACCCGCGGAGCTGATCTCATTTCAGTCACGCAGCGCCGCGTCACGCTCGCTGCCTACGCGCTGCGCATTTATCGGGGTGCGCGGCGTGGCGTGGCGTGGCGGGCGAGCGAGCACTTTAGAGAAAGAGAACGGCGTCAAAGGAGAAACAACAACTTTTATTCAGAATCCGGCGGCGGCGCAAAAGTGACCCACTTCGGCACCCTGACCTCCTCCCCCCCTTCCCCTCTTTTCCTTCCAGCCAGGGGTGAATGCCTCCCTCGGCAGGGTGCACCACAGCAAGTCCGGACACGTCACATGTTGCTACGCTACGCCACGCCAGTGCGTTGGACGCCCCCCCTCCCCCTTGCGCTTACCCTTGAACTAGACAATGGACGTGCCGGTGGAGGGTCAGGCCGGCGCACTCGACACGGGGCTATCACCTGTCCGCCCCGCGAGAGATGCAAGCCGAAGCCGCGGCTCGAGATTAGCGAAGAGGGGGAGGAGAGGGAGGAGGGGAGGGGGCATTAGCAACGCGACCACATCCCCGAGCCAACCACACACGGGCCAGCAGGGGGGGGGGACTACGCCGAACAGGACTTGTGCCGAATCAGCTGAAAAGGTGTGCGCGATTCCCTCCCCTTCCTGCTACCCCCCCTCCACCTACATTTCGTTGTTATGAGAGTTTGAGCACATGCCTTTTGTGTCAACAGCCGGCTCGAGCCGCTTTGGCCTCAGGATTGGGGTCCTCGTCTCGTCTCTCTCTTTCTCGCCTGCCCACTGCGCACTTCCCCCGAGTCATTCGTCTCTCTCACTCTCTCTCCCTCTCGACCGTGTCCGTTGCCCCGGCCGGCCGGGCGTGCTCCCGCTCCTTTGACACTGGTATTGTCGGCCCGTCTGTCCGATGGGATATCAATAGGTACACTGTCGGTACTTGCACCGGCGTTGGTGCCAGGGACCATGGGTGCCGAGAGCCAGGCGCGGCCAGGAGGGCCGCAGAGGAAGAACACACCTCCAGGCTGGGCGTGCTGCCCTAGGGTAGGGCTCTGCCCGAGGAATTCACAAAGTGAGACTGCAAAGACTGCCTACCAGGCCGGCGGAAACAATGGGACGGATGACGGATAACTCATTTTTCTGCCCCTACACCGCCGCGACCTTTTGCGAGGAACAGAGAGCTCGGCGCTTCCGGCGACAGCCCCGGGCCGCAGCAAGAGCAAGAAGAAATTCACAAGTTATTTATGTTACCTCGCGTTAAATTTACATTCTTATCTCGGCTGCATGCTCCGTGGCCCCCTCCCTTCTCATTTACGAGCGCGGCGCCACAGCAGAGAAGGTAGTAGAGTAGGTGCGGAAATCCCCATTCCACCCCGCTACGGAGCGGGGGCGG